TATCCTCATATATAAAGGATGTTATGTTAGAGAGAGAGAGAGAGAGAGAGAGAGAGAGAGAGAGAAAGAGAGAGATAAAGAGAGATAGTGCTTTTGTGTGAGGATCTTGCTTCTTTGTAATCGAACCTTACTTACTCTCTAATGGAAAACAGATCTTATTTACTTTGCTAAGTTCATTCTATTACGTCGATCTACATCTTTTGCATATTGATTTCGATCTTATAGAATCTAACGATCCTAAAAGCAGTAACAACGAGAAACCACTACAAGAAATACAACCATTGCCGGTGACACCAATAGCGGCGACATGGCCCTTTAGTGGCGACATATCAATTTGTCGCCGGTAAAGGTACATGTCGCCGCTATTGGTGTTGCCGCTAAAGGGCCACGACACGAATCCGTGTTTTCACATTCTGTTAAACTACGACCGTTCGATCGTGTTTCTAATGCAATGGTTGGGGTACACGTGGAACGTACAAAAAAGACCTAACCCTGTCACTATTAAATGTCGAATAAATGACGTGACAATAATTCCCTCTGAAGTTGTCGACGCTGTTGATAAACGTCGCCGCTAAAGCCCCTTGCATCGCCGATAAAGGCGTCGTCGGTAAAGGTTGACGTAGTTAATAAAAAAAATCAACGCCCTTTTCATTTCTATTTCTGTTTCGCTCCATCTGCTTCTGTGGTTTTTTTTCCCTCTTCTTCGTCTATTGGCAAGGATTCAGGCCACCATCACCATCAAAATTGAGGATTTCCAGCCACGGTGAAGTAGATACCGTCGGGAAAAGTAGATACCACCGGTGACTGAGGACAAAGATATGGCGACCGAAGACGAATCTCCGGCGACGGTAGGTATCTACAGCTTAGTTCTGTTTCCCTTTTCTCTTGTAACATCGATTTTTAGCTTATTTTAGTGATTAATTGCAAAAAAAATTGTCAATTTCAGTTTTTGATTTAGGGGGTAATGCGAAGATGGGTTCTACTGGAATTGCTTATCTAATGCATATTCATACATATCAGGAGTCGGGTGTTTGAAGAGGGTGGATACACACCTTGCAAGTTCAAAATTAGATGACTTTAACCTTTGTTTTGCTCATGTATATTTTGCACTTGCAAATTCAATTCCATTTCTTTTGGAATCACCAAATCAGTTTAGTCTATAAATAAAGTACATTGAAATACACACTAAATTAGTTATTTTCCTGTTACTATGTGATAAAAAAGTATCCCAAACTGCAGGTAATCTGGAAATACAAGCAAAACATCATAAGTAAAATTTAGTTTTCCGGCAAAAGAATATTTTTTTGGAAGTCGGAGGGTATGAGGATATCCCGAGAGCATTAGCCACCCCAGATGATATGGATGTTGATAAGTTGAAGAAAACAGTTGAGTATTTCCAAACGGACGAACACAAAGCTGCTTCAGAAAGGAACAAAAAAGTCCGTCAAATGCAAATGACCGTGAATTGTGGGGGGGTCGAGCTCGTATAGAAGTACTTGCTATAAGAAGGGAACGTACGATACATGTAATTATTTATTTAAAATATAATCTAATTTTTAATGTTAAACAGAACCTTAAGAGAGTGGAAACATTTCGCAAGACTTATACCGATAGGGATGATGTATTTGTTAGTGTCGAGGCGGAACAACAATACGTAAGTATTTAATTATAATTTTATCATATAATTAAGTGTTTATTTATACTTAATTGTTAATCACTTTTGGGAAATACAGAATCAGTTAGTGGACGAACTCTTAGAACAAACACAAGTGCCGGAAGGTGAAAGAGAGTTAACACTCGCTCATGAAAGAGATGCTTTCGAGAAAGTATTATGAGAACGACGTGGCCATATCCGAGGCATCGGCCGGAAACCTTCTGCTATCCCGCCGATTTCATAGCCATCGCAACCACCACCACAGCCATCACATCCATCACAAGTAAAACAAGATTATTTAATTTCAATAAATGCATGTTGATTTGGTAATTTTTGTTTGTGGTGATTATTTTCTAAAAGCTTTGGTAATTGGTTTTTTGTCCTAAGTGTAACAAATAGCAATGTACTATGGTTTTTTTTGTCTAATTAGTTTAAAATAGCGATGTACTTTGGCATCAATAAATGCATGTTGATTTGGTAATTGTGCTTTTGTCCCAAGTGCAAGATATAACAATGTATTTTTGGTATTTCTTGTATTTTAAGTGCAAGAAATAGCAATGTGCTTTGGTATTTCATGTATATAAGGTTCTTTAGCACAAATAGAGTAAAATTAATTAATTTCAAGTGTTTATATTTTAAGTGCAACAAATATAAATGTACTTTGGCTTTTTGTCTCTAGTTTAAAAATAGCAATGTACTTTGGCATCATAAAATGCATGTTGATTTGGTAATTTTGGTTTGTGGTGATTATTTGCTAAAAGCTTTGGTAATTGGGTTTTTTCCCATGTGTGAGAAATAGCAATATACTTTGGTTTTTTGTCTTAGTTTAAAAATAGAAATGTACTTTGACATCGATAAATGTCTGTTGATTTGGTAATTGTGTTTTTGTCCTAAGTGCAAGAAATCGCAATGTACTTTTCGTATATCTTGTATTTAAGTGCAAGAAATAGTAATGTACTTTGGTAGTTTTTGTTTATGGTTGATAATTTACCTTATAAGTTTATATATGTTGTTATTTATTATGTAGTTGGAAAATCCTTCAGGCAATGCTCAACGACCCGACATGTATGGAGGAGCTTTATGCGTTTTTTCAATCGGGGAACGATCAAGGAGGAAACGATGGAAACGTAGATGATAGTTCGTCGGATAATTAATTTGTGTTTTGTATGTTACACTTGTCATGACACTAAGCTGTTTGTTAGAATTGTAAAACTTTGGTTCTTTATTTTTGTATGAAATTAATTATAATAGTATTTGGTATCTAATCGGATGTTGTTATGTAATTTTTTTCTGCATTTAATGTCATTATGTATCGGTTTTTTTATACCCAAAATCGTTGATTAAAAAAAATTATAAAATGAAAAATGTTATTACCGGTGACATCGGCATTAGCGGCGACAAAAAGTATCACTGGCGACAGAATCATTAGCGGCGACAATTTTATTTACCAACGACATTTTGATCAATAGCGACAGAGCAGTAGCGAGAACTTTTTACTGGCGACGTGCCACCGCTGTTACCTTTACCGACGACTTTTTTACTTTGTGCCGACGATTTTTGTTGTTGTTAATTACCTTTTTTCTTGTAGTGAACCTAGAGTGGAGGCGTCGATCTGAAGATGAAGTCGCCATTGGAGTGCACGTTGATTTGAAGTGCATGCGTTGATGGGGTGATTTCAACCCTAAGAAAATGCATAGGATGAATCCTTATCTAGAAAGATAGGTAGATAAATAATTTATTTCCCTAATTAATCTATTATTAATAGATTAATAATTCCTAAAAATTTCTTTGTTATCGGATATATATATATATATATATATATATATATATATATATATATATATATATATATAAACAAATAGCATAATTATTGAATTATTTCAAGTTTATAAAAGTTTTATATGAAAAGTTAATAATAAAAAGTTAACAAAATATTTATTAATTTTCGATAAAAATATACATCTTAAAAAAAAAACTTTTACAATAAAATAACATGACACGTCTCAAACAGTCCTTACACGCACAACACAATGCTTAACAATTAAGAAGTTATGCTTTTCCACCATGTCATAGTATATATGATATCTTTGTTACAATACATTTAATTATAGATGCGTAGTGGTCCTTTGATGAGCTCTACCTAGTATTACTGCCATTCCTACATGTTTTAAGGGAAGGAGACAAATGACAATACATTGAGAAAGAAAGAGAGAATAATATGGAAGAAATGAGTGAACAAATGGCCATCAAGCGCAAAACAAACATAAAACAACATACAAAAACGAAACACTTTCTCCTCTCATATTTAATTTCATTGCATTTTGGATACCTACCCCTCTTGTCATTTCACACAAAAGATAAACCACATTACCATTAATCAACACTAGAATAATCATGGCCTCAAACTAGTTCAATTTGTTAAATTGATTATACAAAGGTCTTTATAAAACTTAATTACAATCATTTAACACTACAATAACCATAGTCTCAAACTAGTTTATTTTGTTAAATTGATTATACCAATGTCTTTATAAAACTTAATTAACTCATTTCATTTTGTTAAATTGATACTTTGATTGATGTCTTAAAAGACTTGTGTAATATAAAATATATATTGTCTGTGCAACGAAACATTAGTGGTTGAAATACAAAATTTCTTATAAAAAATCTAGTTTAACGATGATATGTCCAAAATATCGATAGTGAATTTTTATTAATATGAATATGATACAATTTACTATTTTTTCTTATAATATAAAAGATACTAATTAATATTCAAAATATTTCTAATATACTTTTTATTATAATATCTTTCGGTCGATCTTTTCATCCATATTATCTTCAAGCATTATAATAGAATTTTGCATCGAATTTTCAGTAAATAATAAAGTAACATCATTTTTATAAATATAAACTAATTATTAATCTATTACACTGTTCATTTAATTAGTTATCGGAAAATCAATGCTTGGCAGTTCATCTATATTATTTTCAAGCATTATAATAGAATTTTTGCATTGAATTTTTTCAGTATATAATAAAGTAACATCATTTTTATAAAAATAAACAAATTAATCTATTATACTGTTCATTTAATTAATTATTGGAAAATCAATACTTGGCATTATGTTTATATACGATTTTTCAGTAAAAGGTTAGAGAAACCCCTTTTGTAAGCTTAAAACTCGGGAGAAGCCCCTCTCATGTAAGTCGAAGGTAAGTCTCTCTCTCTCTCTCTCTCTCTCTCTCTCTCTCATGTACACACAAAAGACACGTAAGTCCTCCATATCCTTCTATACATATCTTTACAAACAGTAAGTTGAGTAAAAAAGTTTGCACAGAGAGAGAGAGAGAGAGAGAGAGAGAGAGAGAGGAGAAATGGAGGGTGATGCTGGAGGTGGAGGAGGTACTTCATCATGTTTGATGAGTTTTGGAGACAGCAACATCATTAATACTAGCAGTAATAGTAATAATAACAACGTTGGAGCACTATGTCTTCCTCCACCTCCTGTTTCATATAACAACAACAACAACAACCTAATTTTCGCCGATCAAGATCACCATCATCGTCATCATCATCATAGTACCTGTGGGACTTCGACTTCTGCTATGATGCTTGAAAACAGCACCATTAATATCAACGATGGAGGAGAGTTAGCCTTCATGAGCTCCTCCTCGTGTTCTTCTGTTAAAGCAAAGATCATGTCTCATCCTCATTACCCTCGTCTCTTATCAGCTTATCTTAACTGTCAAAAGGTATATCTAGCTACTTCTTACCCCCCCCCCCCCCCTCTTCTCTCTCTCTCTCTCTCTCTCTCTCGTGTGTATGTGTGTGTTTGTGCGCGCTCGCCTATCAGCAAACACGGATCTATATAGTTCTCTATATATAGTTCACAACTGAAACAAGTGATGGAATTTTGTATCTTCAGGTTTCAGCATATCTTTGTATACCTGTTTACTGGTTTCTGCATTTGGTACAATCTAATAAGAAATCCTGAGTAAAAATCAAGTCGTGTTTTTTCAGGGGTTTGTGTGTTTGATTCATAGCTATTGCTTGATTTAGTAGTGTAATAGAGACACTCTTAAAAGCAAACAACTTGTAAGAAGGAACCTAGAAATGGGTTTTCTAGATTTGTGTGTTTCTGTGTGCGTGACATCATTTCTTTTAGTTCTTTCTTCATTTGGTAGCATAATATACTTTCTTGAACAGAGAATAAAAAAATGCAAGGCAAAACCCTTATTTAGACGCAGAAAGTTTATTCTTCCACTTTCGTAACGTATATTTGATATATGAAGCATGTGTTTGTGTTTAATTAAGAGTAATATGAAAGATTTTTTCTTTAATTAATACAAAATACAGATAGGAGCACCGCCTGAAGTAGTGGAAAGACTAGAAGATGCTTGCAGAGCGTCGGTGGTGGCTGCGATGTCCAGTCGTTCCGGCTCCGCAGGTTGTGAGGCTGGTACCAGTGATGGCGGTGCTGGCGGTGGTGGTGGAGGAATGAATATGATGATCATCGGACAAGATCCAGCACTTGATCAGTTCATGGAAGCTTACTGTGAGATGCTCATTAAATACGAGCAAGAACTCGCCAAACCCTTCAAAGAAGCCATGCTTTTTCTCTCAAGAGTTGAATCCCAGTTCAAGGCCATCTCCATTTCTACTTCAGATTCTGGTGCATCATCTCTCTCTCTCTCTCTCTCTAAATTTTATGATCCTGGGGAATTGTTTAATAAACTACAGATTAGACTCTTGATTTCATCATAAAACTTGTAAAAGAAGTGTTCTTTTATTGGTTCCAGTACAAAAAAGCTTCTTTGAATGTTCTTCATGCTTACGAACTAGATGCGATTCTGTTTACTTGGAACAGTTTATTGCCTTCGTTAATGCTATCTGGTTCTTAAATTATTTTTTACAATAGTAATCACCAAAAAGTACTATTAATATATATCATGTATAGATCTTAAATTTGTTTTCAAATTTTGTCCATAGCACAATTTCCAAGACTTGACAATAGTTTGCCTACAGTTTCATATCACATGAATTCTTGTGAAAGTTCCTTTTTCCAAAAGTTTATAATTTTCATGTATACAAACATGAAAAAATCTTTGATATATGAGGCTCATCTATGATCTATTTTATGACACTATACGGCTATGTCTGATCCATTTACGTGTATAATGTAAAAGATTTGTAGGGGAGGACCCTAAACGATGTATATGTATGGAGGCCTATTGTGATGAATCTTTCACTCCATCCTGGAAGCTTTGCACTGTTTTTCTAGTAAAATAACCTGTACAAATTTCCAGTTTTTCACCCCTTGAATGTAGAGATATATATATACAAGTACAATTATATGTTCCTTTTCTTGGCAACATCTTGTCCAATATTACATTGTTTTTTACCCTGGGAGATTTTTTTGTGGCAATTAACATAAGGTTGATTGTCGTCATTTCCACCCAAAGCACCCAAGGAAAAAAAAACTTTGGTTCGGATGATAGCAACTTTAGCAAGTAATGATATGGGGAGTCTACCCCGATAGATTAAATGAATCCTATTTCTTTGGGTCGGATGATTGCATTCCAACCATTGGCAATGTGATCAAGATGCATGCATTTTACGAGTTAGTTGTTAACAGGTTGAAATTGGTGATCAGAATTAAAAAAAAAAAAACTCCTGTGCATATATTTGGGCTTTTATTTATTGTGATGTATTTACAACAAATAAGCTTTAGTTTTAAAATCGGATTCTTATAGCAGACCATATGGAAGAAAACAGTAGTCTATTTGTTCCATATGTTCTAGATACATGTACCTTATTGCATCTAAAGAATTGTTCGTAACTGCATTTCGTGCCTAAAAACTCCTTTAAAGTTGCTTTGTCTTTGATAATTTCTGTTTTAATTTGATGTAAACTTCAGCGGGTGGCGAAGTAGGTATGGATAAAAATGGATCATCCGAGGAAGAGGTGGATGTAAATAACAATCTCATAGATCCTCAAGCTGAAGATCAGGAACTGAAGGGTCAGCTGTTACGCAAGTATAGTGGTTATTTAGGTAGTCTCAAGCAAGAGTTCATGAAGAAGAGAAAGAAAGGAAAGTTGCCCAAAGAAGCACGTCAACAATTACTCGACTGGTGGACTAGGCATTACAAATGGCCATACCCTTCGGTAACTATATACTGTTTTCTTGATTAAAACAAAATCTATCTGGCAATCTGTACACTTCTCCTACCACATTCAAGGTGGCCCAGTGGTTATAACTTTGTATGAAACGCTCCACAGGCTTCAAAAAAGAAAAACTTTACATTTCTCTTAACGTACTCTACTGTCTCTTGTGAACAGGAGGCTCAGAAGTTGGCACTGGCTGAGTCAACAGGACTAGACCAGAAGCAGATAAACAACTGGTTCATAAACCAAAGAAAGCGACATTGGAAGCCATCTGAGGATATGCAGTTTGTGGTAATGGATGCTGCTCATCCTCATCACTATTTCATGGAGAACATCCTCGGGAATCCTTATCCCATGGACGTTTCGTTGCTATAGGGGCTATATATATACACGCCCAACGTGGCATGAAATCTCAACAAATGACCGTATCTATGTATGATTGAGATTGAACTCGATGAGGGTTTTGCAAGTTTGTGTGAACCATAAGGGATGAAAAGAAGCTCGTTAGCGTTCTCATGTATGTTGACCTATTGGTCTTAAGAGTTGGATGATTATAAGACATTGTTATTTAAGATATGCACTTAATGCAAGTAAGACATTCGTGTTTACTTATTATTTTTTGATGTCGAACGCCACTACATAAATCAACTTATATTTTAAAGCGACATGAATCAGCGTGTAAAGTTTAAAAAATCCCGGTAGTTGTATAAAAAAGTGCAAGTATTCTAAATCAAAATGGTAAAAAAATAAGTGGGCAATACAACAAGCGACAACATCATTAAGCAACAATAAGGCAAGCGACAACATCATTAAGAAACAATAAGGCATATTAGCGTTAAACCTCATTCAGGGACTTAGATTGTGGTGAAGGTTCATTCACGTTTAACTACCTAGGGGTCCTGGTCGGAGCTAGCATGAACAAATTAGCAACTGGATGTCCCATATCAAGAAATTTCAGATGCAATTGACAAATTGGATGGCTAGAAATCTTTCTTATGTTGGTAGATTGATATTATGTAACGCTACCTTAGAAGCTTGGGAGGTATTTGTTCTCTCTCTCTCTCTCTCTCTTTAGAGCTCCTTGTACTGCTATTAAACGTCTTAAGAGCACATGTAATAACCTTTTACTGGAGCGGACATGTTGATAGCAAAAAGTGTGGTGATGTAACAATGAGATGAACAAGAGATTCAATAAGAAGGAATCTTCCATATCATTAAGAACTTCAACCATCAATACATACATATATAGTTATACACACAAGGAGAAATAATAAACTCCAACTAATTATGTACATAAGACAGTTCTACCCTTTATCTCTAACTGAAATATAACATATTCTAACAGCCCCCCTCAAGCTGAAGGCAATGTAATGAGATTCAGCTTGGACAATGCTTCACGATGTTGAGTAGATTGAAGTGATTTAGTAAAAATATCTGCTTTTGGATGATTAGTTGAAACATGAGATAGAGAAATAAGTCATTCGATCTTGAAGCTTTTCACGGACAAAGTGACAATCCAGTTCTATGTTCTTGGTCCGCTCGTGAAAAACTGGATTACTAGCAATGTATATTGCAGCCTGATTGTCACATTTCAAAGGTACATGCGTAATGTTAGGAACTTCCAATTCATGAAGAAGACGAGATAACCATGCCAACTTTGCACAAATTCGACGCATCGAACGATATTCTGCTTTTGCAGATGACAAGGAAATTGTAATTTGCTTCTTTGACTTCCATGACATAGGACTCCCTCCAAAAAGAATAAAGAATCTGCTCACAAATCTCCTTTGTATTGGGCATGCAGCCCTATCTGAGTCACAAAATGCTTTTATATATCGAATGTGCTTACTTTGTTGAAAAATAATCCTTGAGAAATTGTGCCTTTGATGTATTGAAGAACATGTAGAGCTACATTGTAATGTTCTTGACACGGATTTTGATTAAATTGGCTCAAAAATTGCACAACAAAGGCTAAATCAGGCCTTGTATGCACAAGAAAGTTGAGTTTGCCAATAAGTTGACGATATGAACTGGGATCACTCATTTTATTATCCGTGACGGGTAAAAGATGTAACTTTGGAGGTAATGGTGATGAAACTGGTTTGCAATCTTGCATTGAATATAAAGCCAACACATCCTTAGCAAATCGTTGTTGATGAACTACCATACCTTGATCAACTTGATCATTAACATTAATGACAAGAGATTTAGTGTCCTTTTTTTTAAGAACAATGAATAATCATTCAAATATGCTACATATCCATTTGCATGTAAAGCCTTGGACAATTTGGCATACCATTATACAAAGACTTGTGAAGTTTACAGACAAGATGTTTAGATTCTGAAGGATGACCAGGAGAAAGTTGCATATAAATTTCTTCATGCAGATCGCCATGCAAAAATGCTTTGTTAACATCCAATTGTTGTATACACCAGCCTTTTTTAACAACAAGAGACACAATACACCGAATTGTGTTGAATTTAACAATGGGAGAGAAAGTGTCATGATAGTCAATGCCCTCTCTTTTTGTGTGTATCCTTTAGCTACAAGTCTAGCTTTGTATCTATCCACTGATCCATTAGCTTTGTATTTCAATTTGTAAACCCATCGACAAGATATTGTCTTCTTTCCTTTAGGCAACTTCACAACTGTCCAAGTATGATTATGATTAAGAGCATCAAGTTCTTGAGCCATAGCTGTTTCCGAATTGTGATCTCCTTTTGCTTGATGATAGAAGGCATGTTCAGGTATGTTCTTGATTACATTGAATACATGAGAGGAACAAGTAATTGATGGACAAGGAGAGTCATCAATACAAAGATTTGTAACAGTATGACAACAAACATGTGTATCATCATACACATTATTTCATATGTAATGTACGAACCCGAGATGTTCTTCTGAGAACTGGTTGAAATGGTATAGTAGAAACAACAGGGATATTTTGGGAAACCAAAGAAGATCTATCAACATCAGTAGAATTATTTGGAATGTAAGAACTGGATGGGTGAGTAAAAGTATCTAGAGAGTTATGTAATAGGAAAATTTCTTCAAAGAACTTCACATCTCTAGTAACTTGAATTTCTTTGGTTGTATGGTTAAGAACTCTATATGGTTTTTTCCTAATTGGATATCCTATAAGGATACAAGTGTGAGCTCTAGACATGAATTTATTACGTCCTAAAATGGATGATGTGATAAAACATAGACAACCAAATGCCTTCAAATTGGACAAATTAGCTTTTTTTCTTGTATAATAGCTTAAATGGTGTTTCGTTACCAAGTGTGTGAGAGGGCATTTGATTAATGAGATACACAATAGCTTTAACACATTCATTCCAATAAGCACTCCCAAACCTGATTGGAAATATAGAGCTCTTGAAACCTTCAATATGTTGCAATGTTTTCTTTCCACAATTCCATTTTGTTGTGGTGTAAAAGGAGTTGATTTTTGGTGTAGAATTCCTATTGACTTGTAAAAGAGAATGCCTTCATTACTTGATCCCATCTCATAAGCATTGTCAGTTTAAATGCATTTGATAGTTATAGTGAATTGATTTTGGACAAAAACAACAAATTATTTGATGATAGTTAAGGCATAGCTTTTGTGAGTGATCATATGAATTCAACTATGTTGCTAAAATCCTCAACAATTGTCACAAAATATTTATAACCATCATGAGCTACATGTTTGTATGCCCCCTAAACATCGATGTGAACTAGATCAAATATTGCTTTTGAAGCAGATGTGCTTTTTGGGAATGGAAGTCGATGATATTTTGCTTTAAACCATACATCACAAGAATCAATAAATGGATCAAAAGAGTTGGAACCAACAAGAGAAAGTAATTGAAGTTTATTAAAAGGAATATGTCCAAATATTCTATGCTACAACATCAAAATATAAGTTTTAACATGAAATTTCAAAGTGTTGATAGAATGATGATCAAAGATAAAGAGATTAAAGACAAAGAGATCATTCACCCTTGTCCTAAAGAAGCCAAGCGTAAGCTTATACTTTGATAAAGGGTTATGCATAAGGAAATCTTTATCAGTAAAAAGAACAAAAGTTCTTAATTGGGAACACAATTTTGTAACTGAGACAAGATTCTATTTGAATGAAGTTACATAAAGAGCATCATGAAGAATAACATAATTATGAAGTTTAACATCTCCAACAAAAGTAATAGGAGTGTTATAACCATCAGATAATCCAATGAAACGAGGTTTAGTAAGTTGAGTAAAAGATTGAAAGAGTGACTTGTTTGAACACATATGATCAAAAGCTCCTGAATCGACAATCCATGAAAAATGTGGTTGTAATAGATGAGATGATTTGTAAACATTTGCTGCAAAATGTTTAAAGGAGAAAGTACCTTCCAGATTCATTGCATCTTCAGTAACAAATGCTTGATTTAAGTGACTTGTGGATGGAACAACCATGGTACTGAGTAATTGAATCAAATGTTGAAGTTGTTCTTGAGAAATATTTGGAATAGAATTGGTAACAACATTTTGAAATGAAGATTTGGAGTCATTGTAACGCCCCGTTCCTGGTATGTAATTTAAATATTGAATTTCCTTTCTTAAGGGTTACTCGACGAGTCAGTAGCCCCGACTCGTCGAGTAGAAGCGGGATTGCACGTGGACTTAGTGGGGCGACTCGACGAGTCCATTCCCGACTCGGCGAGTCTGCCAGTCTGGATGAAACCCTAATTCTTAGGGTTTGTACCCTATTTAAACGTCTTTATAGCCCCCATCCCAGCCTCCAGCACCTCTAGAGCGTCCCCCTCAAAACCCTAGCCCTCCGTTGGTGAGTTTGAGTGATTCCTTCTTGATTTTGAGTGTTTTGGTGTATTCTTGGAAGTATAGAAGAGAAGGAAAGAGAGAAGGTGCAAAAGAGAAGAAGGAGATCCAGAAGCTAGCTTCCATTTGCTACTTCATCTGGTAATAAAGCCTCTACCTTGTTCATTTTCCTAGTAGATCTTCATATATGCTTATTTTGCCACTTTTGGGACATTTCAAGGTCCAAACTCTAGATTGGAGCTCCCTTAGGGTAGTGAACTATAGATCTGGACATCACTGAGCTCCAGGAGCTCAAAGTAGCTACCTTTATGCAAAGCAAGGCCTTGTTCCAAACCCTAGGTTCTCATTTCTAGCTTATTTTGGTGTTTTAGCTTCATACCTCTATGCATGTACGTAAAGTTGGCAACTTTACGTGTTATATCGGCCCTAGAAGCTCAGATCTATGAATTTGATGCACTGGAATCAATTAGAATCAACTGTATAGTGAATACATGCATAGGACTCGACGAGTCGTTCATTGGACTCGGTGAGTCGGAGCGCAAACTCCCGATTTCTCCGATTTGAGAGTTGTGAGTTGAATCAGTGAGTGGAAGAGGACTCAGTGAGTTAGAACAAGGATCTGGAAGTAGAAGGACTCGACGAGTCTACGCCCCAACTCGGCGAGTCGAGTCGCGAGTTAGAAAATTTTGAGTTAGGGAACTCGGCGAGTCCATAGTAGGACTCGGCGAGTAGAGTCAACCTGGAAGTTG